TACTGAATCCACATTTGTTTCGTTTCTGGGGATTACTTGCATGGAACTCTGGTTTAACCTATGGTGTAGATATTGAAAGAATAAGATGGATGGGAATTTTACTGGTAACTCTGATATTATTTGTTTTGCTTTTTGCTACCCTGGTATGAGATGACTAGATTAGCTACAAGATTAGTGTTGTTTCATACTAGCATTGCCAGTTGAGATGACTGTCGTCGCATTGCCTCCTACAACTTCTTTTGCTTTGTATCTATGTTTATTATCCTTCCTAAGTGGTCCGTAAGTCTTCGGTCTTCCTTACTTAGACTTTTCAAAAATTGCTTTCGCTTGTGCCCCTTGGTCCTCTACTTGCTGTGAAGTATTGCTCTTGTTGTTCTTTTTAGTTTTGGTGAAAGTGCCTATATGGATTAACTTCCTATTTAGATATTTCTGTGATAGATGCTGATTCTTCAATAGTAGCATCTAACCTGGTTTCCTTGATTATTATAAGAAATTTTCATGTTCTTGTTAGAAGGTTCACTAGTACCCAGGTCAATAGATAGGTGAAGGTGAATAACTTATGCATGTAACCTATTCATTTCAATTACTTGTTCAGAATATTGTACATTTCTTTTCATTTATACAGAGAATAGCAGTTGGATATATTATAGCATCTTTGTGCGAGATATGGCTTCCATGTCACGGGATGAAAAGAGTTGCCTTTTTAAAAAATTATATTTGGCAATGGTAACACAACTACATCGCTGATTTTCAGTAGATTTTTTGTTTTGATTGTGCAATTACTAGGAGTACAACATATCTCTTCTGTTTCCGCATCTTGAAAGTATTATTGCTTTCGAAACTGAAAAGGAAGAATATAAATCAAGTATCTTAACAACGTTGATTTTCTTTTTCCTTTCGATAAACGGAACACAGTCAGATAAACCCTAGAGCTTTAACGATTTGTTATGGTACCAAGCAAAATCTTAGTCGTGGGCTAATTTTTTTCCTTAGTGGAACCGTAAGTGTGTCTTGTCAACTGCTCATAAGTAGGCATTTATCCCCTTTAAGTTATATAAAAATTTAGCTTGCCATTGGTAGAAGTCAAACCCACAACATGTTAGTACAAGGTCTCAACCTAACTACTTGGACTTGGCCTCATTGGTTATTAACATAACAGGTAGATTAAATAGGCAAAAGAGGAGATGTTTGTGAGTTTTTATTGGAAAACTAGCGAGTCCAACTGCAGTGATATTGACAGTCTTATTACTAATCTTCCTTTTTTTATGACAATGGAAACCCGTAGCTTCCACCCTTTGGGTGCGCACAGGGTAAAACCCCCGCTCCTATGCAATAGCTCGCAAACCACATAGGAGAGGTAACCCACATTAGGCAAGCCCAGTGCGACGAGCTCGACCAGCAAGCAAACCCTTGCTTTCGCTGGCAAGGGTAACCACTGGACCACCTCTAAGGGTTTATCAATCTTGCTGTTGTATATTATTGTTTCATGTCCTCTATGGTTTTCATTATCTCTAGTTTTACCTAACAACATTTTACTTCACTTTTAGGTGTGTCAGGTTCCGATTGCCTGCTATATATTGTGGGTTGTTATATGGTATATATGTCCCTGACTTGAAATTCAGTGTGTTGCTGTCAACAGGAAGCACCGTTTATGAATTAGTAGTTGTTTGCTTTCTATTCCCTGTAATAAACTGTATTCTTAAAAGTAAAAACAATGTGACTATGTAAGTGGCTCCAAGCAACACCTTAAGAACTCTATAAAAATTTAAAGATGAATGTGATGAGTCAAAACTACTTTGAGTATGCCCTCTTGGTATCATGCTGCTTTTAATCCGGAAGGCATTGTAAGGTAACAACCTATCATATTTGACTATTACAACTCCATATGAGTATCAATTGGTCTACAACTTGTCATACTTATTCCCTTAAGAATCTCTAGGGCAAACTTACACTGAGATGACAATTCTTAATTTGGAGGTGTGACCTTAATGTCTAGAGAATACCTCTACATGCCTATGTCCTTCATCTTGAAATGTTGGAAGAGATGTTGGTTCAATTTATAAGCAGAAACAATAAGAAATATAAAAAGGGGACCCTGGTGCACTAAGTCTCTCGCTATGCGCAGGGTCTGGGGAAGGCCCGACCATAAGGGCCTATTGTATATATCCTTACCTTACATTTCTGCCTGAGGTTGTTTCCAAGTATTGAACCCATGACCTCCTAGTCTCATGGTAACAACTTTACCAGTTACTCCAAGGCTCCCTTTCAAATTAAAATAAGTATGTCGATACAATACAAAATGATCAGCCTCACTATGAGTCATACCAACCTCTTGACTGACCATGCTGAGCTTATAGAACTGTGCTCAAGGGGTCTATTGCAAACCATATAGGATTGACACAACTGGCACACAAGATCTCAGAATCTGCCAAGCAATATAACAATGGATAAAATTTTCTTAATGTCTAGCTAATAAAGAGACTAATGATTAACAACAACCAAAGGATATATTAAGGCAAAAAATGCCATTTAGCCACGGGGAAGAAGTATCACTACAATCAAGTCAAATATTTGAGTATAACTTTTGATAACAAGGTGGGCTCCAAGTCGACCAATTTGACCATCAGAATCAACTTTGACCGGATACAACCACCGACAACCAACAAGTGATTTACCTAGAGGTAAAGGAATAAGCTTCCTAGTGCCACTTTCATATAAAAAAAGTACATCACATATCCTAGATCAAGTAAAAACTCTGGGTTCCAAGCTACTGCTACATCAATTTCATTAGGAATTGAGATCTATTAATAATACCTTCTAAGGGATGGCTAGTTTAAGATGCTGAACAACAAAGTTTGACCTCTTCGATCATAGCATGTTTCCATTCAGAATGACATAGAACATCAGTGGTGGACTCAGGGATAAAAATAGAAGACAAAGATTATACAATGATGATAAACTATGAAAGCTCAAACAAGTATATTGCGGATAGGGATTACGACTGGACTGAATACCTGTTCGAAATGCAATCGGTGGATAAGTGAAAGACAAGTCCCTAGTGGGCTAAAGGTCAGTTTAAGATTTGAATCATTTGTACGTGATGTTGGACATTAAAGGCGATTATAAATCAAGAATGATAGATTTGAAGAATGTTGAAAAGTTGAACTAGAGTTGTAGGTAATTAAATTGGAGCTATAGGTAAGGATATTGCAGTTGCAAGTGATGATGAAGGGAAGATAGTTATTGAATCTCCAAAAGATGGAAATTGTAACAACCTTAATAATGTCTAAGTGATCACATGGATTGGTGAAGTATGGCTGGGTTATAAAGAAATTAACATTAACAAACATTAGGCACCGTTGAAGATCAGGTGAATAGAATGGATATCCCTTTTGTGTCCTCTAGTAACCTAGAAATGCACATCTAAGGGCACAAGGAACTAACTTATTATTTATGGAGTAAGATTGTGAACAAACCACATGCTCTTGAAGACAGAAGCTGGAAGGGAAAGAAAACATAATATTCTGTATAGCCGAGGATGGCATATGATTAATAAGATAATAGAATATGAAAGTTGCGTCCCGAAAAAATGCAACAAATATTAGATTGTATAAATAGGGAATGAGAGTCTCAATGAGATGCCTATTCTTCAATCTTGAACAACCATGACTTCAAATCTTCTCCATTAAATCGTAAGACCTCCATTCTTGAAACTTGACCATAGAGCAATTCAAGTGGTGAGAATTGTAACTGTTAGGATTCCTTTCGTTCTCTCTCGCTTTGTACTCTTTCTTCTTAATGTCAATTCACAGAAGGACCTTACTCCTGTTCCTATGGGGTTTTATTCCTTCGAGTCTCCCCAGAAGCTGCTAATTGATTTTTCAGTACGACTACTGGTTGGTTCAATTTTTTTAGAGATGAAACTTTACCTGCTAAAAGTCCAATTTCTGCATCATCTCACACAATTCTCCTACCTATGAAGTAGGGGTTCCACTGGTTGGCTCTCCTTTATCTTCCCCTATGTAAATCATGTATCATTACTTGCCTGAGAAGTGGACTGCCTAGTTGGAAAGTTGCTAGAAAGCAGTGGAACTTGAAAGGGTGATGTTGAATTGAGGAGGCGAGTTCCATAGAAGAATAAATGTCGCCAAAGAGTCGCTGGACTCCCTCGCACGAACCAACACATGGGTTTGGTTGATAATGGGTTATATAGGGTTGGATTGCCGAATAGTTCATAACACAGTGGTGGTATTGGTTGAGGCTCAACGCCCGCTTATTCTAACTAATTGTTGTAGTCATTGGGATGATGCACAATGGACAGGAGTTTCTTCTCCGTTGGTAGTTGCACGGAAGATTAAGTTTTATGCTGATTCTTATATCATGTTCAGAAGTAAGACAAATAAAAAGAAAATCTAGAGAAGCTCAGCTAAATTATTCCTTTTAGCCGTTTGAGTTTTAATAACTAAGTGTACCTATTCTAAAAAACAAAAAAAAGAGTCAAAATGCATAATAAGAACTGTCATTCTCATTTTATCATATGAGCACAAAGGAAATTAAAGAGAGAAGGACTAAGGGAGAAGAAATACCTTAAACTGCAGCAACACTTTCAGGAAATTGAAGATGAAAGATAAAGAAAGCTTAGAGTAGATGAAGAGATATTTGAACTTGTGGGAAGTGTAAAGAGAAAGCCAAGGTCTATATTTTGTAGTAAGTAAAATGAATAAGCAAATAAAGACACGATATTTCAGAATGAGATGTCTCCCAAAAAAAGAATTAAATTTAATAGCCAATAAAATAGGGCCATAAATAGCAAAATATTGAATGCATCACAGTACAATCTAAATAGCTTTTGGTCCAATTCTGTAATGTCGGGTTCATCCAAGAAGCCGTCATTTCTAAATAAGGGATAATATAAAAAATGAATATAAATATAAATAAATAAAAGTAGCAAATCATACAAGGTTTTCTCACTCTTGCCTCTTTTTCTTCTCTCTAGCCTACAATTAGGGTTTGTTAATTGGTTCACAAGTCTCCTTCAAAGATGATCATTTTGATGAGCTTTGACGGCAAGACTTTTGAGGTCGATGAGGCGATGGCGCTAGAATTGGAGACGATTAAACATATGATAGAGGATGATTGGGCTAACAACACCATTCCTGTAGCAAACGTTACTGGAAAGATCTTAGCCAAGGTCATCGAATACTGCAAGTGCCATGTGGAGGTTTCTAAAGTTGAAGATAAGATTGCTAAAGAGGATCTTAAGTCTTTTGATGCTAAATTCGTCAAAGTTGAGCAGGGCACCCTTTTTGAATCTCATGCTGGTTTGAATCTTTTTAAATCTTTATGTATATCTTAATTGATTTATATATGTTTCTGATTATGTCGGTGGGATTGTTAACCTATTGGTGTTTGTTATTGTTTATTCTTCAATTATTTTATCTAAACAACTGGAAAGAGGCAAAAGTCAATAAATTTTTATTCTAAATTTATAGTCGAATAAAATGTGTAATACCTATAGAAGTGTCATATAGCAGCTAAGGGTGTGGCTTGACGGTTTTTGAAGTGGTTGAGAACCATGAGATATTAGTTCTGATGTCCTATGGAGACCAAAAACACTAAGTGATTCTTCCTCCTCGGTTTTAACCTCGTGAGAGAGTCACTTAGTACTTATTGTTGGTAGTAGGTGGCAGGTATCCGTGGAATTAGGAGAAGTGCGTGAAAGTTGGCCCAGACACCACATTCAGACTTATTGAAGTGCTTTTTTGGCTTGATTTTTTTTCTTTATTTCTTTTTGTTCCTTGCTGGTAGTTGTGTATATTATTAATCTCAACAGTGTTTTGTTCATTAGTCTATTCTAAAGATGTCTTCTTGTTGGTAGAACTTCATAAATTATTAAATCCCCAAATTTATTTGTTAATATGTACAACATACCATGTGTAATTTCACAAGTGGGGTCTGGGACCTTACCTCCTCCTTCTGAAGGTAGAGGGGTTGTTTCCCAAAGACCCTCAGTTGTAGTAAAACATATTAAAGCATGAAAAAATAAGCCATTTTAGAAAAAGAAACGACTAGTATCAAAACAAAAAAGAATGAGCAATTTTAAAAAGTACTTTTCTATGTGTTAGAACTTTATTATTCTTTATTAAATTTCATTCCCAGTCAAGCACCCTTCCATATAAAATCAACTAGAAGATTATTAGTTTTCCGTGATCAGTTTGGTAGTTTTTGTTATTTTGTGGATCTATGGTAGTTTATCAACTCAACTTTTACTTCCGACTACCATGTCCCATCTACTTGGAATTTTTTTTATGCTTCTTCCATAGACTGAGTTTCTGCTCCAGTTTACTCATGTCTAAGCTTCATTGGTTACAGTGAGTTTATTAGGGTGGTCATGAATAAACTAATAAATCAATTATGTCTCTGTCCCAAACTAGATCATATTTGATCTATATCCATTCCACTTTATTTGTCTACAAGGACATTTCTATGCGTAGTCATTTTGTTGTAGTATACAATATATCGCAGTTGGTTGTAGTTGTTTGAAGTAATAAAATGGCGTTTGACTGCTACTTTTATAGTTCTATTTGTCTGTTATATTTGACAAAAAACATTTCCCTTTGTCATGGTCTAGTGAAATTTCTATTGCTCAGTACAACAATATAGTAGTATAGTGGCTCATTCTAAAACATTGGGTAAGAACTAAGAAGCTTTCTGTAACATTAAAATTGAAAATAAAACTAAAACATGCTTGTAATTGTAAAATTAGAGTGAAGCATATATTTCACATTTAGAACATATAGTCATACTTTAGTTTGTTGCCTTTTTTTTAAAGAAATAAATGTTATAAGGACATGTTTGCAACACATTTTGCTTACATGTCTGATATGCCTCTCTGTTCTACCTCCTGAGTTCTTGCCTGGGCATTTTGAATCTGTAGAGTGGCTTATAATTGTTGAACGTGTTTTTTAACTGTTAAATTTTACATACTGCTGTTACTAGGCTTACTTATTGGTTTCTATTCTTTTTAGTTACTGCCATTAGCGTTTAATGATTTACAATGGACCCTCCCTTTTTTTGTTGAGAGCTTGTATTTGAGGTTTACTATGTTTAGGTGATTTCATCCTGCAGGTGTTGTTACAGTTAAATTGTTACTGCTTTGTTATTTGTTGCCATGTTTCTCCACTCGTTTTCTTGTTTTATTACTGCTTGAGTTGCTTGAGCGGAGAGTCTTTGGGAACCAGCCTCTCTACCTCTCCGAGGTATTGGTATGGACTGTGTACACTCTACCCTCCCAGACACCACTTTATGGAATTTCACTTGGTATGCTGTTGTTGTTGAGAGCTTGTAGGTTAATTATCTATTGTTATTGTATTAAATCATTTGCCTTGTCTCTTTACAAACTGCCAACTACTTAAACATAAAGAGCATGCTTGACCTGACATGTCAGACAGTTGCTGACATGATCAAAGAGAAGACCCCTGAAGAGATATATAAGACATTCAACATCGAGAACGACTTCACTCCTGAGGAAGAGGAAAAAATTAAGAGGGAGAATGCTTGGGCAGGCTAGTGAATTTGAGTCCACTAAGCGTCCATATGTGATGATATATCTGCTATATACTTTAGTAGATGTTATGAATAACTTATATTAGTAAGTGTGTGACTGTTGTTTCTCGGTTGTCAGTTGAACTTCTTCTGCTCTGTTATGCCATGGTTTCTTGTGTTCTCAGAAAAAATTGAAGATAAAAATCATGTTAGTGGCTTATGTCCATTTTCATTGATCTATTATTGCAAAATCCTGTATTTATCCTCACTGGTGCATTTAGCTTCTTTACTCTTACTGCAATGTGGTTGTGTTGTTTTCTGTCATAAAGGATGTTAAACTAGAGTGTGTATGTTACCTGTTGTGACTTGTCTTACAAGGGCATTGTATTTGAAAGCACATAATGGTCTAGGGGGCCTATAGGTTCTTACCTTGAAGCTTGCTTTAGATACTCGGTTGAGAGTTTAAGCGTGACCAAGAGATGGAGAAGTACACTTTGGTGGCGATACGGTGTGATGGTCTTGGGCCAATGAGTAGGGCATTATGAGAAGAACCAATGTTAATCATAGATAAGAGTTGTGTATTCATGAGAAATTCTTCTCAGGTCTTATCTCCTCATTAAGTGGCTGCACAACTCTACTTGGGTGTGACATGATGATTTGTTAGAACTTATGTTTACTTGTTATTATTTTGTGGCTATTTTTTTTTATGATGCTAGTATTTTGTATTCCTGTAGCCTCATTCTGTGGCTGTTTTTTTCATGACCCTAGTATTTAGGCAATTGTATTGCACGTGTACTCCATAACTATAAATAAAAACTATTAAAAAATTACATAATTTCTTTTAAAATTATATTTGATTTACGATAAAAATATGAAAAGTAAAATGATAAATGTTTATAGTGTATAGTTAATTCATAAGAATTAACTTTTTTGGATTTAGTACTCCTCTTATTATAATTTAGATATATATAATTTATATTTGTTTTAAAAGCTAATACGAAGTAGCAAAAAACAAAAATATAGACACGCCACTTTATGATTAACTTCCTTAAAATGTCTTTCTTGTCTCATAAAAATATTGAAATTAAATTAATAGTTATGGGATACACATTTCAAAAAGAGAATGCTTGACATTAATTTGTAGAAGATGAAATTATTCTTCTCACTAAGTAGAAGCAATTAAGTAATTCAAGTTTATAACTAAGAAAATTTAATTAGAAGAAAATAACTAATGAATAAAAATGCGAAGATTGGTATTTAAATTTTGTCATTATATAATTAAAATAATATTTAATTAAATAAATCAGATTTTGATTTAGTGGAGAGCCAAAATAACAATATTAATATTTTTACAATTAAAAGTTTGTAAAATATATTTTAGGTTTTTTTTGTTAAAAGTATATTTTGAGCAATATTGGTCGAGGTTAAATGATCTTTCAAATACATTCTTAAAATGTAATTACAAATATAAAGAAAGAAAAAATCACAAGAGCAAGCTCAGCACAAGGTTACCAGCGAAAATAGAAAATTTTTAAGACAATCTTTCCTTACTTTCTAATGATAATGCAAATTGGAACAAAGCGTGATAAACATTCAATCTGCCACAAAAAAAGTTAAATATCTTGGAAGACAAGTTAACGGAAGTGACATTCAACTATATAAATGAAGGTGTCTTATCATAGTTCTAATCTCGACAAATAACTTAAAAACAAATACATCAGATTTTAACGTTCTAGTAATTGGTGTTATTATCCCTAGAATCACGTTATGCGTTATAATTTTGACACAAAAACGACAGACCGTCCCGTTAATTTCACTGCATCACCTCCCTATTTCTTCCATTGTACCTCTATCGTCAATGACTGCGGGATTTTCTTTATAAACAAAACTAACCTTATTGATTGCTCATAAGTGAGCCAGAGTCTAATTTCACTAATAGTTGTTGCAAAAAATAGAAGCTAATGGTGGAGGATTTGGCACAAATTTGGTCACTTCATCTTTTTCTTCCTTTAAGCGAACATGACGATTCACATGATGAACAAATGCTTTCAACATTCAAGCTGTAAGTATTTCTTCTTCTTCACATAGAAAAATCAATTTTGACAATCGAAACAAGCCTCATGAATTGAGCACTGACCTTCCTTTTGTCACTCGTTAACTTATTTGTTAGAAACAAAGACGTTCAACAAAGAACATTGATAGCTAAGGAAGAAGAACCATAGCAAATCCTAAAAATGAAATCAATTCGTGATTGTGGTTGAGGGTTGGGGGGAGTGCACAAAATCAAAGGGAGAAAGAAAATCAATTTTTAAATATTTTTTTAATAGAAATTTATTTGTTTTTGCCTTTTATTTAATTTTAGTTACTCCTTCCGTTTCATAAAGAATGACATGGTTTGACTTGACATGGAGTTTAAGAGTATAAAAAAGACTTTTGTATCTTATGATTCTAAATTAAAGTTAGGTTAAATGTACAAAATTGTCCCTCTATCTTGTGGCCTTAAACATGCCATGTGAAAAACTGATTTTAAAATGTTACCACAAAAAGAAAGAGGTCATTCTTTTTTAAACAGATTAAAAAGGAAAGGAGATTATTTTTTTAAACGGAGGGAGTACTAATAAAGAATATTTTTCAGGATAATTATGACATGACATTATTATATGTGACATGCATATGACATGTTATTTGTGTAAAGGAGCTACACACATAGGGAAAGGTTGACAAACAATTAAGTAAAAGTGTTTCGAATATAAACTCATATAAATATAAGGATCCATAAGAGCATCTCGCCATAAACTAATTCAACACTTAAAATGACAATACCACTAAAAATGACAATAATGTTGAATATTTATTTCTTTAGTTTTGCGTTGATTCAGACATTCAAAATGCATAATCTAATTTTAAATATGTTTTTATACTTATTTTTATCATGATTTAGTAAATAACTGTATTTTGGTTGGACTAAAGAAATACTGGGAACACAACTTAATTATACGTTTGTATGAATACTAAACCAAAAAAAATTCAAACATTTGAAGAAAAAAAATTCGAGGTTTATTACTTTGGTTTGATTTAAAAATTTAAAAATTTGACACAAATGTTTGATTTGGTATTTGAAAATTTTGAACCAACCTGATGATGAAAAATCTGAGTTTAATCAATTTGGTTTAATTTACAATTTTTTTTATGTAAATGGTTTGATTTGATATTTGAAAAATGTATAATATATAAACACGACCTTTAACTTAGTTTCAACAAACAACTATACTCTTTAATTTTGATTGTGCACAAGTAGATACTTAAACTTTTATAAAATTAAACAAGATATGTGTATCATTCCTGACATAATACACGTAGAACACAAAATTATCATGTAGAGTACAATCTAAAATGAATATGTCTATTTATTTAATTTTAAACAAATTTAAGTATTATAAACACCCAATTAAAAACCGTAATTGTAAGTTAATACCAAGTTAAAGAATAATGCGTATGTATTATGCTTTAAAAACCCAAAGGGTCATGTACACCCGTACTGTTGGTCAACTAATTGGCTCCACCTCATAGATGTTCCTGTTGCAAAGCATAAAATTATCTTTTCCTCTATCTTCAATATAGTAATATAAACTTCTGTCATACTGCTTGCGGAGAGTTGAGTTGGGAGCTCAGAAATGGCAGAGGTGCTTGCTGAGAAACTCAAAGGAAAACTACTACACCTTCTTCCCGTATTGTTTATCTCCATGTGTTTCGAGGTCTCTGCGAATTTATAAGCAAATTTATTTTGACGATTTTGTTTACTGATGAGATAACAGATTAAGATTCTGCCTAGAATAGCCAATTTTTAGAAGAATTTCTGCAATTTGAATTTTTGACGAAGCTGTCGATCAGCTGTGGATGTTGATTCTTTTGTTTGCTCTGAAATGAAATTCAAACTTGTTCCTTTGAATGTATTGATCTTGACAACTCCGTAGGCATGATTATGATTTTTGTATGTATGTTGTGAAAATTGAAGGATTTTTCCTGCTTTCTGGAATATCAGAACCTGGAGTTGGTTTAGTCCACAACTTCTCTCTCTTTTTCTGCTTTTTAACCTGCCCAGAAAACGACGGAATACAGAAAAATGAATTTTTGTTTTCTTTTTCCCTTAACTTGATAGTACAATAGGCCAAAATGGAGAGAAGAAAATAGTAGAGAAATTTAGCAGAAAGCCATCACATTGTTGATGGGACATAGGGATCTCCTTTTTTATCTCATGCTCCCCTGGTTCTAGAGGAAAGAGTCAACCCAAGTATCTATCTCAGAGCAATCTTTAAAATCAAACCTTGAAACCACATTCACAAAGATGATATTGCCACCTCTTTTAAGTTTCAGAAATCTTTAGATTGTTCTATTCGTGCTAATTAGTAACTGCACTTGAATCTGTTCCTATAGATAACAATTCTCAAACTCAATTGTAAAGATGCTTCTTTATAACTCAACACCTTTCTTTAAGGTTACGATTGATTGCTTTTGTTTCTGTAACACTGATTCTGATAACTCTCCTTGTACACATTTAGATTAAGATAGAGTTCTTCTCTTTTCCTTCACGCTTGAAGGAACCGATTTACAGCTTATGATTTTAATTTGTTTGCTGCTTTCAGCTTATGATGCTTGTGGATTATCTGGTTCTGTTTATCCCAGCATTGCTCACTCCCCATGGAATGGTGTCCGCTTGGCAGACTTTGTAATGCCTTTTTTCCTCTTTTGTTGTTAGAGTTTCACAGGTAATTGTAAATAAGGTATCGATACTTTGAGTTGTAAATTAGGTATCTATACTTTGATCTTCAGATAAAATTGCGGACATAAACCCAATCATTATGAAAGATATAGGCTCATGATGCGTAGTGGTCAGATTTGCATCATAATATCTATACTATGTGCTGTCAATTTATAGTTAAATCATCTTAGTAAGATCATGCCTGTCACCAGGTGGTTGTGTTGCTCTTAGCACTTTCTGAACCTTTTCCTCTTTCAGACCTGCAGATAGTTTTAGACAGAACTGGGGCAACCTTGAAAGTTGTGATTAGGACCTTGAAACTTTTTATCCTTGGCATTTTCCTTCAAGGTAATTTTGTGTACTAGAATTTCTCAAATTAATGTTACGGCTCACTATTGATGTCAACCGCTTAACAATATTCTGCAACTATAAGCCTGTATATATGTCTTTTGAGATGGAACTTCTATACCCCATCCACTGCAACAAACGAGTCTGTTTTAATTTTGTGGTATACTAGATAGGATATTTCTCCAGTTCTTACAAATAAAACGAAGTTAAATGATGGAACGTTTTTCTTCTTGAGAACTTGCTACATTTAAAAGACCAGCTGCTCGTCTCTGTTCGGCATTTTGAGCCTTGGTCCATCAGCTTCTGTACAACCTAGGAGCTTCATTCAAAGAAAGTTCTCGATCTCAATAAACCAAGCAGGTTTAAAGGCCTTCCACAATGGACAACAAACAACATGAAGAAAGAGAGATATTTAATCAACAAGAGTGTAAATTTACAGGTAGGTTAAGCTCAACGAGAAGACAATGTTCAGCGTGAAGGTACTGTAGTTTAATTCCTGAGAGGAAAAGCATCATCAGAAAATAGTCAAAATTGAAGATGTTACGGTACCAAGTAACATAATAGAATACATCTTCTGACGTATGTTTTTAGCTAGGATACAAATTCTTGGATTCTATGCTTTTCTTTTGTGGATGAAGGGCTTTCCTGCTTTGCTCTTGATGACCTTTTCTTCTTATTTAGGAAGTAAGACAAACGAAACGAGAATTGAGAGAAACTAATTATTCTCTCTAGCCATTGGGGTTTAAATAACTATGTGTACATATTCTAAGAAAAGAGAATCAAATTACAGGAGTAAATCAAGATATACAATATTTACTGGATCCTATAATACTCTTGAATATCTATGAAATTCTAAAACTCCCCCTCAAAATGGTGCGTATAAATCATGTACCAAGATTATTACAAATGTAGGTAATACGAGAATCAATGATACACTTGGTGAATAGTTCAACTGTTTTCTCAAATTTTGTTGGCTCTTTAACTCTAGGCCAGACATAGTTATGTTTTAAGTCTCCTCTAGTTTTTTTTTTTTGAATTTGTGGCTGGCACTCGTGTCTTAACTGCTATCATGTAACGGAGCTAGAATATCTACTTTTGTACTCTTTGAATCTTCTTGATGCCGGTAATGAAACAACTTACTTCATCAAAAAAAAAGAAAATATCTACAAGTTGATCACTTGACTCACATTTTTTGTGACATCTATCGTAAATGTATTTTTTTTTATCTCTAAGCCGGGGATCTTTTGGAAATTTCCCATTGAGGTAGAAGTAAGGTTTGCATACACTCTAACCGTTCTCTGGCCCCACTTGTGGGATTTCATTTTGTTTGTTGTTGCTGAAGTGACAATTGATCTCAATGTGTTAAGTTCTAATATTTGAGTATAGCCTTTGATAACAAGGTGGGCTTTCAGTCAACCAATTTCACCATCTGAATCAACCTTGACTGGATACAACCACTGACAACCAACAAGTGATTTACTTGGAGGTAGAGTACCAAGCTTCAAAGTGCCACTAGCATGTAAAAAATTACATCTCTTCGATCATAGCTTGTTGCTTCTCGCCATTCAGGATGACATAACGCTTCACTTGTGGACTCAAAGTTGAATTAGAGTTGTAGGTGATTGAACTGGAGCTATAGGTAATGGAATTGCAGTTGTAGGTGATGATTAAGGGAAGATAATACGTGAATCTCCAAAAGATGGACTTAGTAACAAGCTCCAAAATGTCAATGTGATCACCTGGATTGGTGAAGTATGGTTGGGTTCAAAGAAAGTAACATCAACAAACATAAGGCATCGTTGAAGATCAGGTGAATAGCATCGATATCCGTTTTGTGTCCTCTGATAGCCTAGAAATACTCATTCAAGGGCACATGGAAGTGAGGAACTAACTTATTATTTCTGGAGCAAGGTTGTGAACAAACCACATGCTCTCAGAGACAAAAGCTAGAAGGAAAAGAAAACATAATATTCTGGATAGCTGAGGATGGCATGTGATTAATAAGATAATAGAATATGAAAATTGCATCCCAAGAAAACACAACAAATGTGTGATTGTATTATTGGGAAATGAGAGTCTCAATGAGATGCCTTTTCTTCAATCTTGAACAACCATGACCTCAAATCTTCTCCATTAAATCGCAAGACCTCCATTCTTGACCATAGAGCAATTCGAGCGGTGAGAATTGTAACTGTTAGGACTCCTTTCCCTCACTCCCGTTGTTATTTCTTCTTAATGGCCGATCCAGGAAGGACTTTACTCATGTTCCAATGGGGTTTTATTCCTTCGAGTCTCCCCAGAAGCTGCTAATTGATTTTTCCATTCAACTGTTGGTTGATCCAATTTTTTCAAATATGAAATTTTACCTGTTAAAGCTCCAATTTCTGCTATCATATTCTGCATCATCTCATGCAATTCTCCTACCTCTGAAGGGGTTCCACTGGTTGGTTCTCCAATTTCCTTAGTGCCCTTCGCCATTTATGCCAAGAATTCAATAGCTCTGGTACTACTGTTAACATAATTCCAGGAGCTCAATTGTAAGCTCGAGAATTCTAAGCTAAACAGGAAATCTACTGAGCATTTCGACTAAAATGTAACTGAGACAAATGGCGGAAGAGAATTGTAGAAGAAGAAGATTTTAATCGAGACAAATGTAAATGTATTCATGATCAATCAATAGAGGATTACTTCTCTATATAGATGTACTTGGATCAGATCTAACTTGGCTGAGGCTAACTGCCAGTAACGAACTTTCCCACCCTTAGAGTATCCGAAACTAACTCCTAACTAACATAACCAACTGAAATGCTAACATGTCATCCCTAACTAATTCTATCCCTTATCTCCCCCATGTAAATCATGTATCAGTACTCGCCAGAGAAGTGGATTGCCTAGTTGGAAAGTTGTCAGAAAGCAGTGGAACTTAGATGTGTGATGTCGAATCGAGGAGGCAAGTTCCACAGAAGAATAAACGTCGCTATGCAGTCGCTGGAATCCCTCACACGCGCCGGCACATAGGTGAATCTCTCCAGAAAATCAAACTTCTTCCTGGCGTTTAAAAAGACGTGAAGAGTCTGATGATGATGGGTTTTCTGGGGTTGGTTTGCCGACGGGTTCCAAACACAGTGTTGGTGATAGTTGAGGCCTAAACCCCACAGATTCTGTCTAATTGTTGCACAGTCACTGGAATGATGCGCAGTGACGGGAGTTTCTTCTCCGCTGGTAGTTGCACAGAAGACTTAGTTTTACGCGAGCTCTGTTCGAAAGTAAGAAAACAAAAAGAGAATCTAGAAAACCTCAGCTTAATTATTCCTTCAAGCAGTTGGGGTTTACATATCTAAGTGTACATATTCAGATATTCTAAGAAACAAAAAAAGAAAATCAGAATACATAATTTCAGGAGTTAACCAAGCTATACTATATTTACAAGATGCTAGAATACTTACGAGATTCTAACACTACTGTTGTCTTCTGATATTTTTCATAGTATATCGTTTTCTTGTATGAGATATCTTAACTTGATGTTAATGGATCATTACTGATTCCACATTTGTTTTGTTTCAGGGGGTTACTTGCATGGAGTAACTGGTTTAACCTATGGTGTAGATATTGAAAGAATACGATGGATGGGAATTTTGCAGGTAATTTTGATATTATTTTTTTTGCTTTTTTGCTACCCTGGTATGAAATGACTAGATTAGCTACAAGATAAGTTCCGTTTCAGTTTCATTAGCATTTCCTGTTGAGATGAGTGTCATCACATTGCCTCCAACGATTTCCTTTGCTTTGTAGCTATGTTTCTTATTCTTTCTAAGATAGAGGGTATCCAGGATTTCGAGATGATGGGTGCACTATTATGAAAAAGTGGATCTAATCAGTTTGACATTTAGGTTCATATCATTGAAAACAGTTAAAATTTTAAAATTATAGGTCCAAAATCAAAATGCTTAATTAATTAAAACGCCAAAAGTGCTATCAATAACCTCTTAGAGAGGTGTTATCCAATTTTAGAAAAAAGAATTTAGATAGATGTAAAATTCAAATTTCTAATATCACTAAGAGGTGCACCCAATCATCATCACATTATATGATACTTCGTGTGTGGGTCCACACATCTATATTTAACAATAAATTAAGAAACATAACACTATTATATATGATTTTGGGAGAAAAGCATGGGTTCACGTGAACCCGATGACCCCCTCCTGCATACACCTATGTTATAAGTGGTTCATAAGTCCTTAGTTAGACCTCTAAAGACTGTTTTCGCTTGTGTTCCTTGTTCCTCTGCTTTAGCCTGTGAGGTATTGCTCGTGTGGTTCTTCTTAGTTTCAGTGAACTGCTTATATGGATTAACTATTTAGCTATTTCTATGACAGATGCTGATTCTTCAAGAGTAGAATCTAACCTGGTTTCCCTGATTATTATATAAGTCTGCATTTTCTTGTTAGAAGGATTACTAGTCACTAGGTCAAAAGATAGGTGCAGATGAAGAACTTATGCATGTAACCTGTTCATTTCGATTATTTGTTCAGAATATTAAACATTTCTTTTCATATATGCAGAGAATAGCTGTTGGATATTATAGCAGCTTTGTGCGAGATATGGCTTCCATGTCAAGAGATGAAAAGAGTTGCCCTTTTCAGAAATTAAATTTGGCAATGGTAAGACAACTACATCCCTGAGTTTCAGGCAGATTCTTTATTTTGATTGTGCAATTGTTTGGAGTACTACATATATCTTCTGTTTCTGCATCATGAAGGTATTGCTTTGGAAACTAAGAAGGAAGAAAATAAAATAAATATCTTAATAACGCTTGATTTCCTTTTTCCTTTTGGTAAATGGAACATATTGAGATAAACCAAGAGCTTTAACTATTTCTTATTGTACCAAGCAAAATCTTACTCGTGTGCCAGATTCTTTTCCTCAGTGGAACCATAAGTGTGTCTTGTTATGCATACTGTGAACTTCATTTAACAATTATGAGAAAACAACTTCTCGTAAGTAGGCATTAATCCCCTTTAAATTAGATAATTATTTAGCTTGTCGATGTGCAAGTCAAATTCATGACATGTTGGTACAAGGTATCAACCTAACTACTTGAATTAGGCCTCATTGGTTATCAACAGGTAGTTAAATAGGCAAAACAGTAGAAATTTTGTGTGTTTTTATTGGAGAACTAGTGAGTCCAACTGCAATGATGTTGGCAGTCTTAGTATCAATAATCTTTTTATATAGTGTTATTTCTTGTCCTCTATGGTTATCTTTATCTCTAGTTTTACCTAACAACATTTTACTTCATTTGTAGGTGTAACATGTTCTCTATTGTCTGCTATACATTGTGGGTTGTTCTATGGCCTGTACGTCCCCAACTGGCAATTCAGTGTGTCGCAGTCAACTGGAAGCACTATTTATGAGGTTAGCACTATATTCTAAAATATAAAACAATGTGGCTATGTGAGTGGCTCCAAGTAACACATTAAGAACTCTTCAGAAACTTAAAAGATGAATGTGATGAGTCATTACTGCTTTAATAAGTTATATCAGTACTAATTTTTCTACCTTGGATGTAGCATGTAAAACCCTTGCTCGAAGTCAAGAACTTTTGTGATCAATTCTTATCCTATAGATGCTTTTTGTCACTATAATCCAATAAAACCTTAAAAATGACTGGTCCCTTGTTACCACTTTGTGTATGATCAGTTCGATTCCTAATTGATCGAGTTGCAGGTAAAATGTTCTGTTAGAGGATATCGTAGACCCGCATGTAATTCTGCTGGAATGATTGATCGCTATATTCTTGGCATAGATCACCTCTATGCAAAACCTGTATATAGAAATATGAAGGTAACTTTATACTGAACTGCACCGCTGACATGCTTATGTCCAGACCTCACAGTTAGCCCCTTCATGACCAATATTGATCTTTCACAGGAATGCAATGGATCCAACAGTGACAGTTTCTGAGAGTATGCTCTCTTGGTGTCATGCTGATTTGGATCCTGAAGGCATTGTGAGGTAACAACCTTTCATATTTGTCTATTACAAGTCGATATGAGTATCAACGGGTCTACAACTTGTCATACTTATCTCCTTAAGAATGTCTAGGGCAAACTTCCACTATGAGATGACAATTCTTAATTTGGAGGTGTGACCTCAATGCCTAGAGAATACCTCAATCTGCCTAGGTCCTTCATATGGAAATGTTGGAAGAGGTGTTGATTCAACTTAAAAGCACAAATAATGAGAAGTATAAAAAGTGCACCCCAGTACACTAAGGCTCCCGCTATGCGCAGGGTCTGGGTAAGGGCCTGACCATAAGGGCATATTGTCGCAGCCTTACCTCGCATTTCTGCCCGAGGTTGTTTCCAAGTTTTGAACCCGTGACCTCCTAGTCTCATGGTAACAACTTTTCCAGGTACTCCAAGGCTCCCCTTCAAATTGTACGAAATATGTCGATACAATAGAAAATGATCGGCCTCACTATAAGTCATACCAACCTCTTGAATGACCATGCTAAATTATCAAACTGTGCTTAAGGGGTCTATTTTAGATCATATAGGATTGACACATTTGGCATACAAGACCTCAGACTCTGCCAAGCAATATCACGATGGATAAAAGATTTCTTAATATCTAGCTAATAAAGAGGCTAATGAATAAACAATCATGGATATATGAAGTCAATTAATGCTATTTAGCCACGGGGAGAAAGTATCTTTATAATTAAGTCCAAATATTTGAGTATAAGTTTCGATGACCAGGTGCGCTTTAAGTCGACCAATTAGACCATCTGAATCAACTTTGACGGGATACAACCACTGACAACCAACAAGTGATTTACCTGGAAGTAGAGGAACACGCTTCCAAGTGCCACTAGCATGTAAAAAAATACATCACATATCTAGATCAAGTAAAATCTATGGGGTTCCAACAAGCTACTGCTACATCCATTTCATTAGGAATTGATTATCTTTTAGCAATATCTTCTAAGGGATGTCTAGTTCAAGATGCTAAACAACAAAGTTTGATCTCTTCGACCATAGCCTATTGCCATTCAGGACAACATAGCGTTTCACTTGTGGACTCATGGATAGATATAGAGGACAAAGATTACACAAAGGCATAATGAAACTATAATAAACTATGATAGGTCAAACAAATATAATGGGGATAGGGGTTACGAGTGGACTGAAAATGTAATCGGTGGACTAGTGAAAGACAAGTCCCTAGTAGGCTAAGGATTCAGTTAAGACTTGAATCATCTGTTCGTGATGTTGGACATTGAAGGCAATGATAAATCAAGAATGATGGAGTTGTAGAAAGTTGAAAAGTTGAACCGGAGTTGTAGCCTTGTAGGTGATTGAACTGGAGCTATAGATAAAAGAATTGGAGTTTTAGGTGATGATGAAGGGAAGATAGATATTGAATCTCCAAAAGATGGAATTAGTAACAACCTCCAAAATGTCTAAGTGATCACCTGGATTCGTGAAGTATGCTGGTTTTCAAAGGAAGTAACATCAACAAACATAAGGCATCGCTGAAGATCAGGTGAATGCATCGATATCCCCTTTGTGTCCTCTAGTAACATAGAAATGCACATTTAAGGGCAAAAGGAACTAACATCTTATTCATGGAGGAAGGTTGTGAACAAAACACACTAACTCGAAGATCAGGTGAATGCATTGATATCCCCTTTGTGTCCTCTAGTAACCTAGAAATGCACATTTAAGGGCACAAGAACTAACTTATTATATATGGAGGAAGGTAGTGAACAAACCACACGAACTCGAAGACACAAGATAGAAGGAAAAGAAAACATAATATTTTGGATAGCCGAGGATAGCATACGATTAATAAGATAATAGAATATGAAAATTGCATCCCCAAAAGAACGCCACAAATATGAGATTGTATGAATAGGGAATGAGAGTCTCAATGAGATGCCTATTCTTCAATCTTGAACAACCATGACTTCAGATCTTCGCCATTAAATCGTAAGACCTCCATTCTTGAATCTTGACCATAGAGCAATTCGAGTGGTGAGATTTATAATAGTTAGGACTCCTTTCTTTCTCTCCCCCTTTGTACCCTTTCTTCTTAATGGCCATTCCGAGAACGAACTTTTTCCTGTTCCTATGGAGTTTTATACCTTTGCGTCTCTCGGAAGCTGCTAATTGATTCTTCAATTCGACTACTGATTGGTCCAATTTTTTCAGAGATGAAACTTTACCTGCTAAAACTCCAATTTCTGCATTTCACACATTTCTCCTACCTCTGAAGTAGGGCTTCCACTGGTTGGTTCTCCAATTGCCTTAGTGCCCTTCGCCATTGATGCGAAGGATTCACTAGCTCTTACACCACTGTTAAAAGAATTCCAGGAGCTCAATTGTAAGCTCGAGAGTTCTAAGCTAATACAGGAACTCTACATAGTAACTCGAGTGAAATGTAATTGAGATAAATGGGGAAGAGAATTGTAGAAGAAGAAGATTGTAACTGAGATAAATGTAAATGTATTCATGATCAATCAAAAGAGGATTACTTCTCTATATAGCTGTACTTGGATCACATCTAACTTGGCTGAGACCAACTGCCACTAACAAATTTTCCCGCCCTTAGTGTATTCAAAAACTCCTAACTAGCATAGCCGAATGAAATGCTGACATGTTATCCCTAACGAATTATGTCCTTTATCTCTCCTATGTAAATCATGTATTGGTACTTGCCGGAGAAGTGGACTGCCTAGTCGGAAAGTTGTCAAAAAGCAGTGGAACTTGGATTGAGTTTAGGAGGTGAGTTCCAAAGAAAAATGAACGTTGCCAAAGAGTCGCTGAACTCCCTCTCACGGACCGGCAATTGGTTGAATCTCACCGGAAAATCAGACTTCCTCTTGTGTGACAACACATAAAGAGTCTGATGATGATGCGTTTTCTAGGGTTGGATTGCCAAAGAGTTCCAAACACAGTGGTGGTATTGGTTGAGGCTCAATGCCTGCTAATTCTTACTAAATGTTGCACAGTCATTGGAATGATGCACAATGGACAGGAGTTTCTTCTCCATTAGTAGTTGCACAGAAGATTAAGTTTTATGCTGATTGTGATATCTTGTTTGAAAGTAAGACAAACGAAAAGAGAATCTAGAGAACCTCAGATTAATTATTCCTTTTAGCTGTTGGGGTTTAAATAGCTAAGTGTACATATTCTAAGAAACAAAAAAATAGAATCAAAATACATAATAAGAACTGCCATTCTCATTTTATCATTTGAGCACAAAGAAAATTGAAGAGAGAAGAAGAACAAAGGGAGAAGAAAGACCTTAAACTGCAGCAACAGTTTCAGAAAATGGAAGATGAAAAGGGCTTTGAGTAGATGAAGAGATATTTGAACCCGTGGGAAGTAGAAAGAGAAAGCTAAGGTCTATATTTATTTTTTTGAAACTGTAACTTTTTCTATATATGTTAGAATTCGAATCTTACAAGAGTTGTAGCAGCCCCATATTTACGAAGTACTACCTACATCTATGATTCTATGATCCTATGTCTATAATGAGTCTAAAACATCAATAATAGTGACAGGATCATTTAAAAGTAACCGATTACACCAAAAACACAGTAGCAAGATGCAATTAAGTGTAATCTGTTGCATACTATTCTCTGTGCTCTCAAAACACCTAGAATTCCTCTCCTTCCATATTGTCCGCCAAATGCTTGCTGGGACTATCCTCCACCTGCCTTTATTCTTGGCCAACAACCCAGCTTGTTCCCAACTTGTGAAAACCTCTGTAATTTTCCCAGGCATGCTCCTTGCTATTCCTATGAGGTTCAAAAACAATCTCCATAGTTGTCCTGTGATTCTACAATGTAGGAATAGATGATTCACATTTTCTGCCTGCTTCCCACACAAGAAGCACCTAGGGCTTGAATTTATCCCTTTTTCATTAGATTCTCTTGGGTAAGCACTACCTCCATTGCCAAAAGCCACACAAGCATGCCACTTTATGTGGTATCTTGGTTGAGAAAATGACATATATAGTCGCTTAACTATAGGAGTAGGTCTAAAATGGTCCCTTAATTATATACTTGACGAATATAGTCCTTGAACTATTCAAAAATTTGTCAGCTTTGGTCCCTTAACTATACACTTACCAGTTTTAGTCCCTTAACTATAAAATTATCGATTTTAGTCCTGTAAGTATTCAAAAACTTATCAGGTTTGGTCTTTTTTCATTTTGTAATATAAATATCTTAGGTTCATATTAACGGAATCCATTTCTTGAGAAATGAAATCTTTTGGCAATTTTTTCTGTTGTTTCTCTCTCTCTCTGGTTCATTTTCTTCAAATTAACCTTATGTGAAGAACCTTAACCTTAATGATTCAAAATAAAATTTACGAGCAAGGAAAATATAAGTCATAATTTTATTCAATATAGGATAAAATGAAACATATTTATTGCTACTAATGACTTGAATATGCTAAACTTTATTATAAAAAGAAAAAAATTATTCACTGTTAAATTCAAAGTTTGTACTCCAACGACTTCATTGAGCGGTCAGAAATTGTAATTTATAAAATGGTATATTTGTAAAAAAATTTAATTATTTTTAAATAGATCAATTTTATTATTCTATTCGTTTTATTTTACATAAAGAATGTATGCTTAATTTTATCCTCCATTGAATAAAATTAGGACTTATATCTTGTTTCCCCATTAATTTTATTTTGACGTTATTGTTCTTTTTATAATAGTAGTTTGAAGAAAAAAGGGCGGGGATAGAGAAACAACTTTAAAAATGGAGATTTAATTTTACGAATATTTTTGTTTATATAAATCTATTTGTGATAAAGAAATGGACAAAGACCAAACCTGATAAGTTTTTGAATACTTAAAGGACTAAAATCAGTAACTTTATAGTCAAGCGACTAAAACCGGTAAGTGTATAGTTAAGGGACCAGAACTGACAAGTTTTTGAATAGTTAAAGGACTATATATGTTAAATGTATAGTTAAGGGGACATTTTAGACCTACTCCTATAGTTAAGGGACTATTTATGTCATTTTTTGTATTTTGGTTTTCCAAATGTTCTTCCATGGCCAACTGTTTGGCTGTTGGTAGTGGTTCACTTTCATGTACGCTTTGCTCACTTTGTATGTGCCTTTTTCATCTCCCTTCCACCATAGTTCATTTTCATCCGTTCCCAACCCACTAAATTGCCCAATCTTGTTGATGAATTCTGCCATCTTGGTATTTCCCAATCACTGAGTTGCCTTCTGAAGTTGAATCTCCATCCCTCTGTTGTCCATAATTCTGCCATGGTACTCTGTTGGTGTAGTACTAATGAGTAAATATCTGGAAATAAGCTTTCTAAATTGTCTTCTTCATGTCATTCATCTTTCCAGAACTTAGTTTTAGCCCCATTGTTTACCTTGATCTTGAAGAAGCACTTCAGTTCATTCCAGAGATCTCTGATGGATCTTCACAAGTTAACTCCATAAGAAGTTGTAATTTCTTTAGTCATCCATATGTCTTCCTCCTCATATTTAGCTTCTATGACTCTTCCCATAGTGTTGCTTTATCATTGGCATACTTCCATAGCCATTTCATTCTGAGTGCCTTACTACGAGTATCCAGATTCTTTATCCCCAAACCTCCAAACTTCTTGTCAATTATCAGAGATTCCCATTAGACCAAGTAGTAGCTTTTCCTGTCTTTATTTTCTTGCCACAAAAACTTCTTCCTGATTCTGTCTAGCCTACTAATGATTTTTGCTGGTATAGGGAACAAAGACATCATATAAGTTGGCAAGGAATCTAACACGGAGTTGATGAGGGTTAATCTACCCCCTAGTGATAAGTACTGTCTTTTCCACCTTGCCAATTTCTTCTCACATTTTTCAACCACATTGTTCCAGATTTCGTTAGACTTTGAGTTTGCTCCTAAAGGCATACCCAAATGCATTGTTGGTAGACTACCAATCTCTCCTCCCGGAATTGCATTTACGGATTGCATGGTTATGACCTCATTGATCGGATAAAGAAAGCTCTTACCCCAATTGATGTGCAATCCTGACATCCCTTCAAAGAGAACAAATATCACCCTCAAAATTTTTTTGTTCTTCATCTGTATCACAAAAAATAGGGTATCATCTGCATATTGCAAATGAGTCACCTCCTAATTATCCATTGCTTCTCTTGATGCATTGAAACCTCTCAACCACCCATTCATATTTTCTGTTCTGACCATGCTGTTGAGACCTTCATAAGAATGGTGACAAAGGGTCACCTTGCCTTAGACCCTTTTGTGCCTTGAAAAACCCTGTTGGTGAGCCATTGATGATAATTGGAAAATTCACGGTGGATATGCAAAATTTTACCCAGTTTATCCACTTTTGTCCAAACCCCATCCTATTTAGCATTCCCAATAGATATGCCCAATAGACATAGTCATAGGCTTTCTCTATGTCAAGTTTGCAAAGAATCCCTGGTTTTCCTTGCTTCTGTCTGGATCGCATTGCTTCATTAGCTACCAAAACCGCATCCATGATTTGCCTAACTTTAATAAAGGCCATTTCTTGTGAGTCCACCAGTTTTGTCATCACTCCTTTTAACCTCTCTGCGAGTACTTTAGAGAAGATTTTGTATATAATACCTATCAAACTTATTGGCCTGAAATCCTGTAACTCTTTTGCACCTTTCTTCTTTGGAATGAGCCTAATAAAGGTAGCATTGAAGCTCCTTTCAAACATGTCCTCATGAAAATTATGAAAAGCATTCATTATATCATATTTCACCACTTCCCATCATTTGATAAAAAATCCCGTGGTAAAACCATCAGGCCCTAGTGCCTTGTCTGTAGCGCACATCTTTAGGCATCTCAACCTCTTCTTCCTCAACTTCCTTGCATACTCTCCTTTCCCTTGTTGATAGAACTGGGCAGTTTGGAACTGGTAAGTGGGTCTCCAATGATGTTTCTGTATATAAGCTTTGATAAAATTCCACAATCTCCTCTTCAATTCTAGCATTATCCTGAATTATTTCTCCTTCACACAAAGTTGGTCTATACTGTTGTACTTTTTGTTAACATCGGGAACCTTGTGAAAAAACTTAGTATATCTGTCTCCCTCCTTTAGCCATAGTGCCCTTGATCTTTGCCTCCAAGAAATTTCTTCTTTCTTAATCAAATGTTCATACTCAAGCAACAATTCACCTTTATTTGTTGTCTCTTCATGGGTAAGCATTCTTATCCCGGCAATTGTTTCTAAAGCAGCCAAATTCCTTAGCAAAGTATTCCTCTGTGACCCAAGATTCCCCTGCTCACTCTTGCTCCATTCTTTGAGTTTGTTCTTTAAAGCTTTCATCTTACAGGCCAGAACGTAATCAGGTCTTCCTTCATAGCTGAAGCTATTCCACCAACCTTTAACTCTGTCTATAAAACCCTCATTACCCAACCACCAATTTTCAAATTTAAAGTAACTATTCCTTTTTTTTCCCAGGATGCCCCTTGTAGAGCAATAGGAGTGTGATCAGAAGTAATCCTTTGCAGGGGAATCTGTTTCATATTATTGAAACTATCATCCCAATCTGCAGTGATCAACATCCTGTCAATTCTTGAAGCAGCTTCATGGAGGCCCCCCTTGAACCATGTGTATTTTTGCATCTTCTAAGTGCAGGTCAATGAGATTCATATCTTCGATAAAATCTGAGAACTCCTCCATTTCATTTGTTCTTCTGGTGCAGTTTCTTTTTTCAGAAATGTATCTGCCTACATTAAAAGCCAAGGTCTATATTTTGTAGCAAGTATAATGAATAAGCAAATAAAAACACGTGTGATATTTCAAAATAAAGATGTCTCCCAAAAAATGAATGAAATTTAATAGTTTATCATATAGGGCCACAAATAGCAAAATTTTAAATGCATCACAGTACAATTTAAATAGCTTTTGGTTCAATTTTGTAATGTTGTGTTTGTCCAAGAAGCTGTCATTTCTAAATAAGGGATAATATAAAAAAATGAATATAAATAAATAAAAGTAGTAAATCCTACAAGGTTTTCTTACTCTTGCCTCTTTTTCTTCTCTCTAGCCTACAATTAGGGTTTGTTAATTGGTTCACAAGTCTCCTTCAAAGATGATCATTTTGAGGAGCTTCAACGGAGAGAGTTTTGAGGTCGATGAGACGGTGGCGCTAGAATCGGAGACGATTAAACATATGATTGAGGATGACTGCGCTAACAACACCATTCCTGTACCCAACGTTACTGGCAAGATCTTAGCCAAGGTCATCAAATATTGCAAGCGCCATGTGGAGGTTTCTAAAGCTGAAGATAACACTGCTAAAGAGGATCTGAAGACTTTTGATGCTGAATTCGTCAAAGTTGATCAGAGCACCCTTTTCAATCTCATACTGGTTTGGACCTTTTTAAATCTTCATGTATATCTTAATTGATTCCTATGTTTTCTGATTACGTCGGTGGGATTGTTCAATTATTGGTGTGCATGATTGTTTATTCTTAAATTAATCTAAACAACTAGAAAGAGGCAAACGTCAATAACTTCTTTATATTCTAAAATTCTAATCGATTTAAATATGCGACTCCTATAGAAGTGTCATATAGCAGCTAAGGGTGTGGCTTGGTGATTAATGAAGTGGTTGAGATATTAGGTTATGATTCCCTGGGGAGACAGAAAACACTAGGTGATTCTTCCTCCTCTGTCTTAACCTCGTGACAGAGTCGCTTAGTACTTGTTGCTAGTGGGAGGTGGCAAAAAACATTGCCGTTTGTGAAGATTATATTGCTTAGTACAACAGTACAGTACTATAGTGGCTAATTCTAAAACATTGGGTAAGAACTCAGAAGATTTTTTGTAACACTAAAATTGAAATAAAACTAAAACATGCTTGTAATTAGAGTGAAGCATATATTTTACATTTAGAACATGTAGTCATTCTTTAGTTTATTGCCTATTGTTTTAAAAAATAAATGCCATATGTACATGTTTGCCGCATATTTTGTTTACACATCTGATATGCCTCTCTCTTCAACATCCTGAGTTCTTTCCTGGGCATTTTGAATCTGTAGAGTGGCTTACTATTGTTGAATGTGTTATTTTACTGTTAAATTTTGCATACTGCTGTTACTGGGCTTACTTATTGGTTTCCATTTCTTTTTAGTTATTGCTATTAATATTTAATGATTTACAGTGGACCCTCCCTTTTTTGTTGAGAGCTTGTATATGAGGTTTACTATGTTTAGGTGATTTCACCCTGCAAGTGTCGTTATGGTTAATTGTTACTGCTTTGTTATTTGTTTCCGTGTTTCTCCACTCTTTTTTGTTTTATTACTGCTTGGAGTTGCTTGAGCAGAGGGTCTTTGGGAACCAGCTTCTCTACCTCTCCGAGGTATTGGTAAGGACTGCGTACACTCTACCCTCCCACAAACCACTTTGTGGGACTTCACTTGTTATGTTGTTGTTGAGAGCTTGTATAGAGGTTAAGTATCTATTGCTGTTGCATTAAATCATGTGCCTTGTCTCTTTACAGGCTGCCAACTATTTAAAAATAAAGAGCCTGATTGACCTGACATGTCAGACACTTGCTGACATGATCAAAGGGAAGACCCCTGAAGAGATTCGTAACTTACTTAACATCAAGAACGACTTCACTCCTGAGGAAGAGGAAGAAATCAGGAGGGAGAATGCTTGGGCAGGCTGGTGAATTTGAGTCTGCTAAGCATCCATATCTGATGATATATCTGCAATATACTTCAGTAGATGCTATAAATAACTTACATTAGTAAGTGTGACTGTTGTGTTTCGGACCTTCTAGCTTTGTCAGTTGAACCTCTTTTGCTATGTTATGCCATGGTTTCTTGTATTGTTAGAAAAAATTGAAGATAAAATCATGTTGGTAGCTGATGTCCATTTTCATTGATCTATTATTGGTAATTCACATTGTTTCTTGTGTTTATCCTCACTCGTGCATTTAGCTTCTTTACTCTTACTGCAATGGTTTGGTTATGCTGTTTTTTTCACAGAAGGATGTTAGACTATGAGTGTATGTTGCTTGTTGTGACTAGTCTTACATGGGCATTGTACTTGAAGGCACATAATGTTCTAGGGCTTGTAGGTTCTTACCTTGAAACCCACTTTAGACACTCCGTTGAGAGTTTGAGCGTGACTAAGAGATGGAGAAGTCCACTTACGGTGTACGTGCTGGTCTTGGACCAATGAGTAGTGCATTATGAGAAAAACCAATATATAAGCTTCGTATCTTATTCACTGAGAATTTCTTCTCAGGTCTTATCTCCTCATTAAGTGGTTGCACAACTATGCTTGGGTTTGGCAGGATGATTTGTTAGATCTTATGTTTCCATGTTCTTTTTGTTTCAATGACATGTTTCTTTCAGTTGGATCTGTAACCTCGTTTTGTGGCTGTTTTGATGACATTATGTCTGTTTTCCCTACTACGTTCAGCCTGTAAAAGTTGATGGTTGAAGGTACCTGCTATACATTTATCTCATAGTGTCAATATTCTTTCTTGTTCAACTCTTTGAGAGCAACCTGAACTTTTTTAAGCTTCTGCCACAGTTTCATCATTGCAGTCCATGTACCAGGACTCTTCCGAGCTCCTTCAACTAAAGTAAGAAAGTTTGGATGGCCTATCATATAATAAAGAACCTGAACACTTTCCCTCCCCTAGCAAGTCCTTCTATTGAAACAGTCATTGGGGAGTGGTCGGAAAAGAGTGGGTCCAAAATATGAGTTTCCAAACACCATTTACCACGGATCTGTCTATCCTACTATAGACATGTCGATGGTCCAAGTAAATGACCTACCTACACTTCGCAAGAATGTCAGTCATGACGTTGGTGATCCTTTTGTAGCATTTACCCACTCTCCCTAAATTGCTTGCATTATCTCCTCCGGTGGTTGTAGTATTAGTTTGGTCCTGCAATCGTTTTTATACATTGCGATCTCCCCTGGCTGACATTTGACTCTCTTTTGGCCTATGATGCTTCCAGACCTGTTGTAAAGGCTTTTTAACCTCTACTTTCTTCTTCATAGGTTCATCAGGAAACACTTAATAGAGGTTTCCAATCAAATCCTATCTCCTTCTTAAATATATTTCGATTAGCCTCCTGTACCTTTGCATGTCTTGGTGACTTCAATTAGAAATCTAGCATAGGAGATTGGATTGATTGTCGAGGTGCACTCATCTACATAGATTGGTCTACCCATGGTACTACCATTCGACTCAATGAATCCTTCCCCCAACAGCTCAACGGCAAAAAATTGGGAAGTCAAATCCATAGAGGAATGGTGCGCAGTACCTCTTCATTGAAGTTGAATTCAGGGCTCCATCCTTTTACAATGACAGCTCGGTTATTCAACATATATGGATCCATATACATCATAACATCACCCTCTTCCATACTAGCAAATTTTACTAGCAAGTGAAGTAGCCATCATTGTGGTAGTACACATCTCTGGTTTGGTTGTTATTTTGCCTTAGCTATCAGGAATCTACGAACAGACCCTATCCATGGAGATTCACCTACAACATAAAGTACCACTGACCCATTTTCCAGTGACACAGTTAATGTGCGCCAAGGGAAGGCAACTCTAGATAGAGAAAAAACTAAAACAAATAACGGTTGCCGCTAAACATACGTGTCAACTAAAACCACCACTAAAACAAATAACAGTCGTCGCTAAAGGTTAGTATCAGTGGCAATTCAAACCGCCGCTAAACGTCACTTTTAGTGGCAACTGAAACTGTCACTAAAACCAATAACAATCGCCGCTAAAGGTAAGTTTTAGTAGCAACTAAAACCTCCCCCAAGTCAACTAAAAGTCGCCGCTAAATGTAAGTATTCATGGCAACTAAAACCTCCACTAAATAAAATATAAGTATTCTTGACAACTAAAACTGCCACAAAATCAAATAAAAGTCACCGCTAAAGGTCAGTTTTAGTGTCAATTTAAACCGCCACTAAAATAAATAATGGTCGCCACTAAAGGTAAGTATCACTAACAACTAAAACCGACGCTAAATCAAATAAAAGTTGCCGCTAAAAGTCAGTTTCAGTCAGAGGCGGAGTCAGGATTTGGAGGTCGGGGGTGTCAAGACATTCAAGTAAAGATAAAGGATCGGTTGCTTTAATTTTGGATTACAATTTGAGTTTTTGATTTATTTTTTTGATAAGTAAATCGATCAAATATGCATGTTAGTAATATTTTTTTATAGATATTTTGTGATTAGAGATAACTAAAAAATTTAATTTTTATTTCCTTTTCGAAATTAGGTGTGTCTTATTTGCTGAAACTTTGAGGAAAAAAAGATTTTTCACATTAAAATTTGAGTTTGTATAAATCATCTAATAGTATCAACATAATATATTCATCTTTCATTGACTTTATGTATTGTTGGAGATACATAGTAGGAATAGAATAAAATTGTATCTTAAGCGTAGTCATCTTACTTAGGATGAACGTCGGTGATGATCGAAAGAACCTTTAAATTAAAAAAATCTAACTATAATATTCATCATTTTGAAAACTTATGTTTATTTTAAAAACTACCATTTAAATATATTCTTAATAATATTTATTTGATGCTCATAATTCAATACTCACTAATTAATTTTAAAAAAACATGTTACACACATATCAAGAACTTAATAATTAGTACAAGAGGAAGTAAAAAAAAACTAAAAATTAATCATGGAAAGGGTCAATTTGAATTAATAAAGAATAGTAAATAAATTAGAATAAATGGAGAAAAAGAAAATTAGTACAAGAGGAAATAAAAAAAACTAAAGATTAATTATGGAAAGGGGTCAATTTGGATTAATAAAGAATAGTAAATAAATAAGAATAATTGGAGAAAAAGAAAAGAAAAGCAAAAAAAGAACAACAAAACAGTAGATGTTGTTGGTGTGGTTCAAACTGTTGTTGTGTAAGATGGCAAACCCTTTCTTTGCCACTTGAATTGTTTTGCTTTCAAGTTATTGGGTGGCAAAGGTAATATTTATTCAATTATAATACATATATATACATATATATATATATGCCGTTGCACCCCCACCTCTAAACGTAGATCTGCCCCTGGTTTTAGTAGCAACTTAAACCGTAGTAAAACCATTATCTTTTGCCGCTAAAGGTAAGTTTTAGTAGCAACTAAAATCGCTAGTAAAACAAATTACTGTTGCCGCTAAAGATAAGTATTTGTTACAACGAAACCGCCACTAAATAAAATAAAGGTTAGTATTCATGGCAACTAAAACTGCCATTAATTCAAATAAGTCGCCGTTAAAGAAATGTTTTAGCGGCAACTCAAACCGCCACTAAATAATAAAAGTAACCGCTAAAGATAAGTATTCATGAAAAATGAAACCGCCACTAAACTACATTTGAATAGTATGGTCCATTACCATTCAAAACTAAAAGTTTGAATGTGAAGAATCCTTCCCTGTTATGTGTAAATACTTTCAGAATTAAACTTTGAAATTGCATTTTAAGAACCAATTTTACAAAGATTAATGTTATCATAGGAAAAGGTAATTATATAATCAAATTTTAACATGAGAAGAAAAGAGAGTGAAAAACTACAAAATAAAGGATAACAAAAAATACATGATTGTATCATCTATTTTATGTTTTTCTTTCATAGTATATTTTTTTAATTATTTAGTGAATAAAATATAAAAGGTAGAACTACTACTTTAATTTTAACATTTTCTATTTTATAACTCAACTTTTTAATATATAAAAATTAATAATAATAAGGGACAAACGTGAATGTTCTCATAAATTAGTATATAAACAAAGAAGAAAGAAAATCATACGCCAAATAGAGAAAATGGAGAAAGAAAAAAGGAAAAATAAAGCAAACCATGACAATATTTTGGACAAGAGGCATTTGTCAGATTGTTGGATTAGGATTGAAGTGTCTTTTATTTAACTAGTTTTTGGAAATGTGCTAGGCTCGTTTATCTCTTATCATTTCCATAAAATTTGTACATGCCTAATTTTATATTTTCAAATTTCATAATTTCAAAGATTGTTATTCTTATAAAATTTGTAACATGCCAAATTTAATGTATTATTCTACTAAGTGTGCTTTATCAAACACAACAGTATAAATCTAATTTTAACAAAATTTTAGTTATTACTCTCACTATTTTTTTAGTTGTTATATTACGTTTTTTGAGAGTCAACTGGACTAATTTTTTAAGCTAATTTAAAGTGCACTAATTTGATATTTTGAAATAAGAATTTATATATTCAAAACTATACAAAACGTACTATAAATTGCAATTTTTTCATATCAATATAAAGGAAAAATACATATGAAAATGTTAGTTAAAGTTTATATTGTTTGACTATTTAAGAGAAAATAGTAACAACTGCAAAAGAACGAAGGGAGTAGTTCATGAAATAGCAAATGTTGAACTATGTAAAACTAATCAAGATAATATAGCATCTAACATTATCGGAGTTGCTGACATAGAATTAGCATTGATACTTATAATATTAAAAATATAATTAAAACATCAATAAAGGACTAACTTGATTTTTACCAATCCAAAAAGGCACAAGTAAATAAATAACGATGCACAATATTCGAAGAAACTATGTTATTCTCATGTATACATGTCCAGTTGTTGGATTTTAAAAAGGTGTGAATGGAAAATGAAGAGTTGCGACTTCTATGAAGAGTTGTGACTTTTATGAAAAGTTGCGACTTTTATGAAAAGTTGTGACTTTTATGGAAAGTTAAGACTTTTATGAAAGGTGACGACCTTTCTGAAAGATTATGACTTTTCCAAAGGTTTGTGACATTTCCGATAAGACACAATAAGAACCTTTTCGCACTATCCTTTGTTTTCTATAAATAGAGGATTTCCTCTCATTTTAAATAAAATTTATGGACTTCTTCTTCAACTACTAAATCTAGCATTCTAA